TGTACCAGGTGGCACTGTTCGGACATGCTCAACCTCACGTTGACCTCCACCAACGACTAAACGCCGCTAGTAGCGGAACGTAGGTCGGTTTCATCATCAAAGAAAACCACCATCAAGATTACTACCGTAACGAGGTGCTGAGCATCGACGGTATTGTTTAACGGTTTCACTGCTACGAGGACCTCTAGAAAAGCCGAGGGAGAACGGCTGGCCAATGTGTGTATCAGGGCATAAGCAAATCGGATAACGGATAATGGGCTTCACCGCAAAGACCATTAATAGTTAGACAAGATCAATGGACGGTGAAAAGGCCATCGCTCAAGCCGCGACGGAACAGATCGATTCTGCGTACCGCCGAATTTGAGTTGCTTCGACGGAACACGCAGCACCATTTTACCAGGCCGCCTGGGTGATAGAGTATTTGAATAACGAAAGCTAACGCTTAACGACTACAGCAAAGTAGATGCGTGACGTACCGAACGGCGATGAGGCCAGTTACACCATAGACAACATCTCTCTGAGTTCGACATGGTCACTTCAGTCCGAGCTGGCCAGGCAGGTTCAAGCCAGTACTCGGGAATGTGGCCATCCTGTAACGATCGCATACTGAGGCATAGATCTATCGTATGCGGGATAAGAGCCGACACTGTGTGGAATATCAACCTGAACGCGCTACAGCCGACGATTAAAGGTATCCTGCTCGTCCCCGTGGAGGATTCACGAGCCGCTCCGAGGGTCAGCTAGAAGTTTTTCAACCCCCGATCGAAAAGGTGGAAGTGACCAACGAGGGCGTGCTCCAACCAGTTGTTCAGTCATGGTATGAGGGCATACCAGCAGTGGATGAGATAAAAGCTACCAGCAATCAAATAACACCCCATACATAACCAAAGACCTGGACCTATCCTCCGTGCAGATCGGTAAATACCTGACCACCAGGCGGCACGCTATGGTTGGACATGCAATCCCACGGATGATGATAAACTGTATCGGTAGCGGTCGCCGCATAGACACATAATTCGCGGAGACCCAAGCTCAGGGAGACTGATAGCCAGTCCCGCATTCAACCGTAGCAAAATATTCACCGATGACCTTAGTTGCCCTAATACTGAAGAAGAAAAGCCGCATAAAAATTCAACCGCCTGTTTACGTGGGAATGAGGATCCTCGATTTATCCAAACACCTGATGTAATGACTTTTACTACAACGAGCTTAAGAAACAGTACGGACGACAGGTGTGAAGTGCTGTACACTGACACGGATTCCCTGCTAATGGAGACTCGAACCGAGGATGTAATGAGGACATGAAAACAACTCCTCGATTTTAACGACACCAGCGACTACCCCAAGGACCATGCCATACACAGCGGTAAATAAAAAGGTCCTAGGTAAGATGAAGGACGAAAGTGTGCTGGCATCGCCCATAAGCCGTAGTACATGGGTAGGAGACCTAAGATGTACTCCATCCTGAAGGTCGACAATATGGGAGATCCGGAAGGCTAAGGGTGTTAAGCAGTAATGGTGAAACAACACATCAAACACGCCAGATCTAAGCGAAGCCCCTGTTCAAGACCCATACCTTTAGACATAAAATGAACACACTTAGAAGTGATGGTCATAGGATATACCGGACTGACTATAAACAAGACGCCCCTGTCGCCGATGGACACTCAAACGCTGGGATAGCTATTGATGGGATAAACACGACGCTTGGCATCGGGCATGAGAAAATTCAGAACCAAGAACATAGATATATATATGTCACGGAACCTAGAGAAAGTTTGAGGCTATTTACTATAGCCTCGCTGGTACTGGAAAGGAGCTAGCGCTTGCGTAGATAAGCTGGCTAAAATGGCCGAAAATTCCCCGAGGGAGAGCCAAAGCGTGGTTTGAAAACAAGCCCTGTGGCAGATCTATTTGCCTTCACCACCGCTCACGCACCTAGAAGGGAAGTTTGGTATTAACATACCTATATAAGCGCTCACCAGGCAGACCTACTGGCACCTACCCCACGCACAAGAGGAGGTACAAGTATGTCTTAATCAGAGTGGACGAAGCCAGTCGCTACAAGGAAGCTTCGAACCCTTGACCGCTGAAAGATTCTGCATACCAGGTAGCCAGAGGATTCAACGATATACAAACGCTAGCGGTCCGCTGACGCGGCCAACAGAGCTGTAAGTTGACTCCCCCGGGCTACGGAGTTCATGGGCGTCGTGGTCACAACTGCTAGCCAAACACGATACAAAGGTCAGATGCTGAAAAACGCGGAGCCCATCGCAGCCGCTTCATAGTTGAGAGATTTAATAGGACTTTGGCTGATGCTTTATTCGACATCAGTATGCTAGGGAGATGTCCAACCCGGGAAAGCCGCATCGACTGAATGGGTCGCGGAGGTTACCTAAGGTGGTGTCGGCAATCAACCATGAAGTCACCCTGGCCCCCATCGGTAAGAAAACCGCAGACGCTTATCAAACTATAATCAATAGTGGCAGAGTCGGCTGCTCCATCATGCGGGGAAAGAGAAACAGATACCAGATAGGGCCCTAGTGAGGTATCTATACCAGCAGGGGGAACACGAGGGTGATAGCCGTAAAGCTTGTTTCACCCGATCCTATATGGTCAGTCAAAAACTTAAAACATAGATAAAGTGGACAATGAAAGCAGACGGTAGCCTAACTTGTACTACTTGAGGGATGGGCCAGTAGAGGGTTTGTAAGAGCTGAATTATTGATCGCACCCGTGACGGCAACAGTGTTACCTCCCTGTCAACACGCATAGATGATGCAATCGTTGGGAAAGCAGTAGGTAATGGTAGCAAGAGCTATGGGTCCACCAAAGCCTTATTTGGGAAATAAGGCTTTGCAGAGGCTTTGTTGAAAGTGATCCAAAACCCCCATTCCCCTACTAGGTGGTTTAAAATTGTTCCGCTTTTCCAGGTGTTTAAAAATCTGAAAATCTAAAAATAGCACACTGGCGCCTGGATGTAAATCCGTTAAGTTGGGCGTAGTAACGCCTTGGCTTAACCGACGTTGTGCATGACTTGTAAGAGCAGGGCGCTGCTAAGCCAGACATAGTGTGTTATGCCTGACGTTAGCTTCGCCCGATATGTGCATATGGCCACTGGTCACATTAACAGACAAAGACAATGTAAACACTAACATGATGTCAGTACATCAGGACATTATTCTTGGATGGAGAACAGGAAGAAGACTGGGCTCAGAATGCACCTCTGTTTCACTCCAATTGAAAATTCAAAGTGATTAATCTATAATGCAATATCAAACACACACACACACACACACACTCCAACAATGTTTAACAGAATGGTATAAAGTGTGCTTAATGCTTCCCCATATCATGGTTAGTGTTATTGATGTGATAAACTAATCTGATATATTTGTATCACAATCTGATAAACAGGCAGGTTCTTTACCAATAATGCTTAAATCTCATGCAATTATTTGATTTGCATTCGGGAAGTTGTTGAGTAAATAATGAAGCATATTATTTATGGAGAAATGGCAGTCAACAATATCAATACTCTCAATAGACTTTTTCTCCATGTATTAGACAAGAAGTTGTTATCAATAAAGTTGTCTGCTTTGTTATACCCAAGATCAAAGACAATCCTTAGTTCTGAATACTGTAGCAGAAACTCATATACTTCAAACATCAATGTGATCTCTGCATGATATGTACACTAACAATATCCAACAATATGTAGATATAAGAGAGAATTTGTGGATATCATCTCAATTATAACTGGGAACACATTGTTTCCAAGTAATTCATACTCCTTCATCATACAGCTTATATAAAATGTACATGTGAGAAAACAATAACATAACAAAGGTGGACACTTAAGAAGGGAAGTAACTTATGCTGACTTGTAATAGTAATGGACACATGGAAAGCAGAGTTAACTTAACACACTTATATTCATAGGTTATACGGACTGCTTGGTGATAGTAATGGATGACTGACTGACTGACTGAGTTTGGTTTCACGCTTTTAGCAATATTTGCAACATTATGCGGCGGGGACACCAGAAATGAGCTTCACATATTGTACCCATGGGGATTCAACCCGGTCTTATAACGCTTTAACCTGCTTGGTGACCCCAATCCCCAGTAATGGATGAATGGAAGCCAGATGGGTGATAATATCCAAGGTGGATGGTGGTAATATTTAGAGAGATGTTCAGATGTTGATGATTCTGGAAGCATGCATTGTATGTATGACGTTGTCTTTAGTTACTTTAGCCATTGAAAATATATCTTAAACTTCCAATTATTTGAAAAACATCTTAATGACACCAAAAACTGATACTCTCATGTGTGTCCCTGTAAAAAATAATGTCTAATCATTCAAGATTGCTGCACTTATATAGCGTGATACATGTATGTTAAACATCAAAGCATGTCCCTGATAGTCCTGAATAATAAACCCATGCTGTTACTATGCCACAGTTTAACATATCAAACACTCTGAAACATTCCTTGTCTTCTCCTAAGGCCAGACCAATTTTATTTCTTGTTTTATGGATTTTTGTCCTCAGAAAACCTAAAAGCAGGAGGGAAAAAAATAAAAAATAAAAATCACCAGTCAAAGTAATATTCCTTTTGCATACTTAAAAGTATTTTATTTTTGGCAAGTTATGAAGTGTATATGGGGCAAAAAACAATCAAAAAAATTCTTTTTGAAGTTTACATTTTTGCCAATAAAAACATGAGGATTTTATTTTTGGAGCGGGGAGAAGGTTCATTTTTTTTTTTTTTATTATTCTTGAAAAAATATGACCGGCGGATCCTTAAAACAAGAAATAAAATTGGTTTGGCCTAAAGCTGAAGACAAGTCAGGGTACAAATGACTCATCTTTAATGTCTTTTGGCATGATGAGGTCAGGATTGAAACATAAACCTTCTGATCTCAAAGCTGACACTCTATCCACTACACCACCACACTCTCATATAGGAGGAATAGAAAAGACAACCATATTACAATTTATATTCCTTGTTTGAAACAAAAGTCACTTATAATTTTATTTACCATTAATTAGGTCAATATTTTAGGAATAAATATATGGTAATAGATTTTGATAACTAACAGAAGCAAATATATGAAATAATTGCAGCAACATACCAAACCAATTCCCGTTGGTCACACATCTTTTCAAAGATAATTTCAATGCTAACAAGTGATCACCCAAAAATAATAAACCATGACAAATGTAACCTGTGTTTATAGTACAAATGCTTTTAGGACAATTAGAATCACAATGATGAAGTCAAGTGATGTCCTTTGATCCTCAATAGAATTGGTCTTCAGCAACCCATGCTTGCCGTGTCTGTGATAATCCTTTTAGGTTTTAAGCTTATATTTTATACATTTTATGCACATAATGTCTAGTGTGTCTCATTGGCCATATGGGCTGGTGTTTGTATATTTTATGTTTTTACCTCTGCCTTTTCAATTGCAATGTACATTCACGTGACACAAAAAATATACTATTTTGTCTGTCTCTCTGTATGAGGCAAACAATGAGATCAGGTCATCAGGCTTGCTGAAATGGTTGATGCATGTGATCTTATTACCCTTTAGATAAATTGGTTTTTACTCCCGTAAGTAGGACTTCCCATTTTTCAGACATGAAAGTTATCAGACAAATCAATCAGGCGTGACTGCGATTACAACCTAGTCTTAACCACCAACATAATAAACCTATCCAATACCAACGGAATGTTTTTAAATTAGTGGCTAGTGGTATATTTTAACACAAATTATGATTTTGTTACTTTTTGTACAGAAATACTTTGATAAGAATACATATGTTAATCAACTTCCTCAATCACTGGCTTCTCCCAGGTTGTTTTAATAATGTTCACTTTGATCAAAACAGGATTATAGATTTTCCATGTAACTAATTGAGTTACTCCCTTACATGTAGTCATCTTGATGCCTAACTGAAGTCAACAATCCAGGCAGTTTGGAGGAAGACAAGACTCCTATGGAGTTCCTTGACGCTGTGGGACATTTGCTTAAACTTGGGTAACTGCCACTATAATGACTGTGTTGCTTGCCTGAACTACACATGTTTATAATGCGATTAATTATATAGCTTAATATATTCTTATACATACATGGCTTAGTATGCAAATAAGATAATTTTTGTACTACTAAACATCCTTGTTAAATAAGATAATCTTGTTAAATTACCTTAATTTGTTGTAGAAGCTGAATGAAGTCATTATCCATAAATTTGGATCAGTCCATTACTTAATAAAGGTAACAGTGCAGTGTACCTGAGTGCAACCAATCATAACTTTTGTTGTTTTAACGTGTCTGACAAATGGGATGCCTAACTTATGGGAGGACACTGATAAGTTAGATAAGTTTTGATTGGTTAACAGCCAATGGATATGAAACCATACTACGATAAAACTCTCAGTGAGTTTAGTTTTATGCTGCTTTTAGCTATGAACAGCGGGGGACACCAGAAATAGGCTTCACACACTGTACTCATGCAGGTCTTTGGCGTGACGAGCAAACGCTTTAACCACTAGGCTACCCCACTGTCCCGATAAGGGTTATAAATAGAAACAAGCAGTGTATACACAATCCAACATCATTAGGAAGACCACATCTGTCACACTTCAACATTAGGATCAGATCCAAGGCCAAATTTTCTTTTCATCTTATCTTCACTTGTGAGTTTGGGTGCCTCAGTTCTTGTGTGCCAAACCAGCACCTGTGTCGTAAAAATAGGGAATAAATATCAGTACATGGCCATGACCATGATGATGCCAATATAAGCTGGTAAACTATCCTGTCAAGTGATATTTAACAAGAAGACAAAGTCATCAATTTCCCCCGCAATGGCAAAATACTCTTCATGAATAGGAAAAGAGCTCACCAATTTCAGTCTAAGTCAAACTTGTTGCTATGGAAATGCCAAAAAATATTTTATTCTGAATTCCAAAACTACCAAAAGGCACCAGTACACCACCAGATCTATCCATGTGCCAAGTTTGGTGAAGAAATATTGAACGGTTTTAAAGGTTCTGCTCCGGAAAAGACAAATGTGCAAGGATGCACAGATGGATGGAGTCCATTTTGATACCCCCCGCAAAACGCGTTGCGGGGGATAATCCCAAATTCTATTAACAAGGTTGTTTTTCTTGTTCGTCCACCAATATGGCATAGTTAGGTTTTTCCTACCAGGTCTTCAGAACTCCACCTCTCCACAGTCATACATGGTACTTGGTAAGATAAGAACCCACCTTTGTGCAGTTATCAGCAAGAGGTTCCAGATCGTCCAGCGTGACCATCATGCCGGAGAGGACAGTAGATTCTTGGAAGCCTCTCTTCACATAGTTGGAGAACTCCACCTCAGGATACGTGAAGAAAAGTTGGAGGTTGACAGCAAATCCAGCCATGTCAAGAGCAAATGGTCGATCCGGTTTCCAGTACGTAAACCAACCAGTCACCTACAACACACAAGTCAGACGCAGGTTAGCTTGATGTAAACAGCTGTTTCTGTGCAGTCTACTTTTGTCTTTAAAAGAGCCATTATGTTGAGATGTCAGATAGAGGTGAGCTACAAATGTATTGTGGGTCAAAGAAAAAGGCCTTATGTCTAGAAGCAGTGATATTTCTGCCACTAACAAAGATATGAAAACATAAACTCTCCATTATAAAGATTCATTCAGTGGTCCCTGTCTCATTCAGAAGTAGGGGTTGGTGGAGTAGCCTTGTGGTTAAAGGAATGTTCGATTCCCCACATGGGTACAATGTGTGAAGCCCATTTCTGGTGTCCCCTGTCGTGATATTGCTGGAATATTGCTAAAAGTGGCATAAAACCCAACTCACTCAATCTGATGTAAGAATGAACAAACAAACAAAACCATGGCAACAACCATATTGAAGACTGTCACAAAACAAAGTACCTACTTTTCCATTTTTGACAATAGGACTTTCAAATCTGAGACCTCCAACAAGACCAACGGGCCACACAGAGACCTTTTTTGTTTTACGCATCTGGAACACAAATTAACATATTCTCAAGATTCAAGGGTACCAATCACATCTGGAACACAGAATCATTGCTAAAAATATCATTGGAGCATTTGGTGATCTTTTTCAAATTGCCCTTGACACTGAGATGGTTCACTGCCAGAATAATCACTAACACAAATGCCATCATTCACAAAATTTGTTCAAGAACCATAAATTTTTGCCAACGTAATGAGACATAAATGAGAAGGGGTAGGAGGAGGAGGAAGGGGGTGGGGGGGGGGACACCTTGGCAAGAATTACATGGGAGCATGAAGATATGGACAAAGGAGGGGTGGGGTGGGGTGGGGGTTTGGGAGGGGAAGGTGAGGTTGTGTGCCGGCAAAATATCATACAGTCCTAATTACCAATGAAACATGCATACCCCATCTCTCATAAATTCCCAGTCCCAAACCCCCTGATTCTGACCATCTGTAATATTGTCCTACTTCAACACCTGATCCTATTCTAAAGTAGTCCCCAGTTTTGAAAAATGTCAAAACTTATTTGTAACAATGAAGATGCCCAAATAGGATAGAACATAATGTGCAATCGTGAAGATACATGTTTCTACAACAAGGTAAGCAAATTCACATGTAACAACTCTTATAGTCTGTCTGTCTGTCTCACAGTTACAGTTCCTGAACCACATTATTTTTACTTCCACCCAGTCCTTTCTGAAATGCTAGAAAGAAGCAAGTCTAGATTTCCTGATTCTAAATCTCCATCTCACTGGGGCTTCTTTTCAATTCAAATGGAATTTTTTGTTTCAATCACAATTTTTTTTAAAAACATTAAAGATAATCACAAATACAAATTTAATAAATATATACATGTATACCGACAAGGCATTAGTCTACAACTCCTACTAAGGACTGTAAACCTAATCAAATTGAAATCGAAGTCCACACTACACCCTCCATTACGTACCTGTGCAAATATCTTCAGATCATACGTATTGTCATCGTCAACAAAATACACAACACCAGGCTGTATTTCAGGATCCAGGTTTTTTCGTAACCATGACAATCCCATATTTCTTTGTAATACCCCTCTTGGTTTTAACCAGTTAGGATCGTCCGGGCTTTAATTTGACTTCTTTTGGTGTCAGAATGTTTAAGTGTGTGTAGGATAAGCCACACTGACTCAAAAAGTTGGTGACCAGTTTAGTTTTTAATGAAGAATCTTCTATCACTATCCAATGAAAATTTGGCAAGTGAAGAAAGGTCTGCGACAACCTGGTCAATTCAGCTTTCTGCACACCGCGATAGTACGTAGGCGTTATGGCGTAGATGACAGGCATGGATTTATCAAACACTCGATTGTTCTTCCCCCGAACTTCCAGATATAAGATGAGGTCTTCTACTTTCTTCTCTGATTTTCCCAATTTGTCTTTGACTTCTGTATATTTTTGGTCTTTTTTCTTTTATTTGTTCTCTGTATCTAGCCAGCAAATTTTCCAATTTTTGTTCATTTTCATTTGGACACCAAACACCTGAAACAAAGAAGGATTCTGGCATTAGTTTAAGACACTGTTAATGCACACAAGAGTATTGCCTGGATAAACACACAATTTGGTACACATGTCTAATTGGGCTGTTACGGTTCACTTACGCATCACTACATGAATTCAGTTTAGTATTCACAATCACTAAAATCGAATCTCCATGATTTTTTAAAATGTGGGGTGAGGTAGCCAAGTGGTTGAAGCGTTCGCTCGTCACGCCGAATGCCTGTGTTGGATTCCCCACATGGATACAATGTGTGAAGCCCATTTCTGGTGCCCCCCCACAGAAATACGCTATACATAAACCAAGTAAGCGAACCTGGCCACCCGATCCCGTTAGTCGCCTCTTGTGACAAGCATAGGTTGCGGAAGACCAATTCTAACCCAGATCTTCACAGGTTACCTTGTATTCAATGCAGTACAAAAGTATTTTTAAAAAAGATATGGAAAGTACCTCTCAAATTTAACCCCAAAAAGATTACACCATACAATTTGCAGGATACTGAGGACCAAGTCTGTTCTAGACTACCCATGGAAAAACAGTGATCTAATCATTAGTGAGTTTCAATTTTACGCCGCTTTAAGCAAAATTCCAGCAATGTCACGGCTGGGGACACCGCTTTAAGCAAAATTCCAGCAATGTCACGGCTGAGGACACCAGAAATGGGCTTCGCACATTGTACCCATATGGAGAATCGAATGAGCGACGAGCGAACGGATCAATCATTAACTATAGTCAGTACTGAATATAATTATTAACTGTTGATAGTGTTTGGTGTCCTCATTCATTATAGCTGACGAATGTTACTTAACATGCATAATTTCCATCAAATTCTAAACCCAAGAACACAACTAATTTGAGTTCTCTGACAGTCATTTTTCAAACTGGAAACCAAAATTATTATTTTTTAAAACACTGGTAAACAGACACTTCAACATGTGAATTTCTGGAAAATGATAAAACATCTGTAACATCTGATAACTGGCTCCTTGACCAATTCAATTCACTTGCCAACAAAATCCTATAAATTCTCTTTGAAAGAGATGTAAAACCAACTTACCGAAATTGACCAGAAAACACATGAAGACTAGTAGAATAACTCCAAAATATAGGTACCAAATTCTTGCAGACCTCTTAAGATACATTACTGACTGTCAGCGTTGTCCCTTCAGATATATGAATAGATCATATACAGTGTTGATTAGTGTGCCTGAAATTGAAGGCATCACATACAGGCCACATGTCAATAGGCTCCATCCATAAAAAACACAAACAATATCAGGGATAAATCACTAAAATGTTTTAATAATGGTAAGTAAGGTGAGTTATAAACAGGATCTTGAAACGAGTAGACACCTTGAAAGTTACTCATTTCCTTCAAAAATACAACATTCATATAACGAACCTAATTATGGGTATAACAAACTGTTTTGTGCCTACAGATTATAAACACGAACAGGATGTAAACATGAACATTGTGCAGAATGGAAGTCTTATTTCAGTACATTTAGTTCAGAGCTGTTATGATTCACTCGCACATTCAGTGAATCGATCTGCAACATTTTAAGAATTACATTTGTTTTTCACTTTCATTAGAATCAATTATTGATGAATTGTATCAAAAGTATGTCTTCGCTTCAATTTGGGTGTTATTTATCAAAGTGAGAAAAGCAAAATGGAATATATACAAGCCAGGCAGGATAATTATAACAGTCAACACATATTAGATTTCACTGTAACATGGTCACTGGTCATTGTCGTGTTAGATTAGTACTGTCAACCGAGTCAAAAAAGGTTTAAAGAAATAATTTTGCTTTTGTTTTATACAATAAATAATACATCTACTTAAGTTCTGACTTGTTATTGTATTCGTGATGTATCATATTTGCCTTATAGTGGATTTGTTGCAGTCCAAATTTAGTTCTTGTACACGTGGTATACATTTGTTTGTGGAGCATTGTTTATAAACTTACACTGCCAGTTTTATAAACACTAATTTCATTCTAATACTATGTGTGACATATCCCACTAAAAGCCGGGCTTTTCCTTTCCATCAGTCCGGTCTTAGCCACGTAGTGCCACATGCATAATAACTAGTTTTATAATAAAACATGACGTGTTTACCTGAACAGCAGTGTGCTTGAATTCCACGTCATCCCATTTAAAGCCATCGCTTCCGCACAGACTTCTAACTTCGACATCAGATAGGCTTTTGCCCACAGAAGTTTGAAGGAAGGGAGGTAACTCTCGCGGCTCAGCTAGATGCACACTGTTTTGAATTGTTCGTGATTTACGAGAAAATCCGTTGGTCTCTTTACGTTTCTATCGGGAGTCAAAGACGATCGTCAATGAAATAAAAGAAACGAATGAATGATAGATCTGCATTGTTTCCTTTCGATTAAAAAGCATTCAATAATCTGTCCTCAACACGCACTGTGGAGTGTGGTCGTCGTTGTTGCAACGGTTGGCACTACAGATATGTACCCTTGGTACGTTTCTGTACACAGATATTGTGTACACAGAAACGTACCCAAGCCAAAATCAGAATACAGAAACGTATCCTAGAGCGAATCCATTACGCATTGCACCGTGTAGTTGATCAGAAATGCCATACTGTCGTAAGAGGTGCATTGCGGACTGCCTAAAACCCGGACCAAAAAAGCCGGTCCAGACCACCAGGTTACACTAATACTATAAATGGATAGTGCTAAGATTAAAAGAAACGTGCACATCTGCACAGATACACTGACACCGTTAATAAGTATGTATTCCTTTCTCTCCCTCTCTGTCTCTCTCTCTCTCTCTCTCTCTCTCTCTCTCAATTTCACGATACGATATGTATCGCGATATCTTGGAACGGTACGATTCGATTCGATGCTTATCACGATATGCTATCTTTAGTTATGTTCTTTAAAAAATCTTATTTTAATAGCAAGTGACAGTGTAAATTTTGACATAACCGTCAATATCTAGAAAAAAATAACAATTTTAAGGTCAACGATACATATCACGATACGAAAAAACGTATCGATATATTTATCGTTAGATAAAGTATCAAGATTATCGATATTACGATATATCGTCACAGCTCTAATTACATACCGAGTATCCCAAAGAAAAGCTGGCTGTTGTTTTTGATATGTCAAATTGAAGGTTTCTTACTGCCCTCAGGAAGTGACATTGCTTTGCCTTCTTTATTTAACCCATTGGGGCTATTCTTCATACACTAAATGGGCAAATAAATATGGTCATGAGGCAGCTATATTACTGACACCAAGGCAGCTAGCTATTGAGGCAGTCCAAACTGGTATGAATAGTTCACGAAGTGACATTGTTCATGAAAAATTAAAGCAGGATATATTTTTAAATACACAGTATATTACGATTGATAAATGGATGGATTCCAGCTCATGTTGGGCTGCAAGGAAACGAGATACCAGACCGGGCCTCCATTTTAAAAATCGTTTAAGTCAAGCTGGCAACAGTTGTTGGATGCTGGAACTCGTGGCCCACAGTTTGTCCATCTGTAAAATCAAATTGGACATTTCGTCGACGCAACAATCTTGAGGAAGTAATAATTATATGACTTCGTCTTGGACACTGTACTACATAGATTATAAGCTTACCGCAGTGTCATTGATAAAGAGGTCTTCTCCGAACGTACGCACTCAGATAAAATACTACCGAGCAGGTGATATAAGGAGGTGATACATGGTATGTGAAATATGGGGTAATGCATTGTATGTACTATGATATAAGGAGGTGATACATGGTATGTCATATGATATAAAGAGGTGGTATGGTATGTGAAATTGTATGTAATATGATATGATATAGGAGGTGATACATGGTGTATGTCATTGTATAATATGATATAAGGAGGTGATACATGGTGGTATGTGAAATAGGGGTAATGCATTGTATGTAATATGATATAAGGAGATGATACATGGTGTGTGAAATAGGGGTAATGCATTGTGGTATGTATATAAGGAGGTGATGGTATGTATAAGGAGAGGTGATACATGGTATGTGAAATAGGGTAATGCATTGTATGTAATATGATATAAGGAGATGATATATTGTGAAATAGGGATGCATTGTATGTAATATGATATAAGGAGGTGATACATGGTATGTGAAATAGGGGTAATGCATTGTATGTAATATGATATAAGGAGGTGATACATGGTATGTGAAATAGGGGGTAATGCATTGTATGTAATATGATATAAGGAGGTGATACATGGTATTTGAAATAGGGGGTAATGCATTGTATGTAATATGATATAAGGAGGTGATACATGGTATGTCATATGATATAAGGATATAGGGGTAATGGATGTAATATGATAAGAGATGATACATGGTATGTGAAATAGGGGGTAATGCATTGTATGTAATATGATATAAGGAGATGATACATGGTATGTCATATGATATAAGGCATGGTATTTCATATCATGTAAGGAGGCGATATATGTGCTATGATAAAATGGAGGTGATGCATGATATGTCACATGGTATAAGGAGATGATGCACGGTATGTGATGTGATAAGGAGAGGTGATGCATGGTATGTGATGTATAGAGGATACTAAACGAACTTCCGTGTAATGCCATTTTTATTAAACGAGTTTCATACTAAATCTTTCACGAGTTTAACAAAAAAGGTATTTCACGGAAGCGAGTTTAGTATTCTGTTTATTACTCTCCAACATAAATTGATAGAAACTGCATACAGTGTGATGACTCTCAACTTTCCGTGAGGCAAGGAAGGTCTAATCTAATACCATTGTGACAGGGGCACTAGCATTGTGAGGTCATAACTGTAAACCATTATGACGTCATACGTCCGGCATCACGTGATGTTATAACACAATGTAATGACATTGTAGATTTATTAAACAGTGATATATTCAACGGGTGAATAATAAAAGGACATAATGCATGATATGCAACTATGTGTAATAACATTGTAGAGTTATTAAACAGTGATATCTTCAACGGGTGAGTTATATAAGGACATAATGCATGATATGTGAATCAGTGTGATGAAAAGAGATGATGCATGGAATACGATATAATATCTGGAGGTGATGCATGGTGAATGATGTGATATAAGGATGTGATGCATGGAATATGATGTGATATCTGGAGGTGATGCATGGAATACAATATGATATCTGGAGGTGATGCATGGTGAATGGCGTGATATAAGGATGTGATGCATGAAACATGATATGATATCTGGAGGTGATGCATGATGAATGATGTGATATGAGGATGTGATGCATGGAATATGATATGATATCTGGAGGTGATCCATGGTATATGACAAGATATAAGGAGGTGATGCATGGAATACGATATGATATAAGGAGGTGATGCATGATGAATGATGTGATATATGGATGTGATGCATGGAATATGATGTGATATCTGGAGGTGATGCATGGTATATGATATGATATAAGGAGGTGATGCATGGAATACGATATGATATCTGGAGGTGATGCATGGTGAATGGCGTGATAAAAGGATGTGATACATGGAACATGATGTGATATCTGGAAGTGATGCTTCGTATATGATATGATATAAGGAGGTGATGCATGGTGAATGGCGTGATAACTGAAGGTGATGCATGGTATATGATATGATATAAGGATGCGATGCATGGAATATGATGTGATATCTGGAGGTGATGTTTCGTATATGATATGATATAAGGATGTGATGCATGGAATATGATATGTGGAGGTGATGCATGGTATATGATATGATATAAGGAGGTGATGCATGGAATACGGTATGTGGAGGTGATGCATGGTGAATGATGTGACATAAGGCTGCGATGCATGGAATATGATGTGATATCTGGAGGTGATGCTTCGTATATGATATGATATAAGGACGTGATGCATGGAATATCATATGTGGATGTGATGCATGGTATATGATATAAGGAGCTGATGCATGGAATATGATGTGATAACTGAAGGTGCTGCATGGTATATGATATGATATAAGGAGGCGATGCATGGAATACGATATGATATCTGGAGGTGATGCATGATGAATTATGTGACATAAGGATGCGATGCATGGAATATGATGTAATATCTGGAGGCGATGCTTCGTATATGATATGATATAAGGATGTTATGCATGGAATATGATATGATATATGGAGGTGATGCATGGTGTATGGTATCTGGAGGTGATGCATGGTGCAATGTATATGATATGATATAAGGATGTGATGCATGGAATATGATATGAGGTATGCAAGGATAAGAAGGTGATGCATGGGATAAGATATGATATAAGGACGTGAGGCATGCTTTGTGGTGTGATGTACGGAGGTGGCGCATGGTATCTAAATTGATGTAAGCGAATGCATGATGTGATATAAGGAGTTGATGGTATGTAATGCAATGCATGCATAGATATGAAATATGATATAAAATGTTGATGTGATATGATGGATATATGATGCATCATATGTGATGTAAGGATGTGATGCATGAATGAATATGAGGTGATGATGGAATATGATAGGATCTGTGATGCATGGATATATGATATGATATAAGGAGTGTGATGGCATGGTGATAATGATATGATATATATGGATGTGATGCATGGAATATGATATGATGCATGGTGTATGAATATGTATGTGTGATGCATGAATGATGTGACATATGAAGTGATATCTGATGCATGGTATATATGATATAATATGATATGATATACATGATATAAGGAGGTGATGCATGATGTGGAAGTGATGGTATATGATATGAATGATGTGATATATGGAGGTGATGCATGATATGAATATGATGATATGATATAAGGGTGTGATGCATGGAATATGATATGATATAAGGAGGTGATGCATGGAATATGATATGATATATGGAGGTGATGCATGGTATATGGTATCTGGAGGTGATGCATGGATATCATAAACCAAATATGGTTCTCTGGTGTTCATTGAATTTACTGGAAATGAGGACTTTCCCGCTTGAACAAGTCTTATATGAATATGTTGCACTTTCCCATCCCAATAATTTGTCAAGCGTAGAACCAAATGTTGACTGACGCTGGACGTTCTATAGTCATTATCACTGCACGTAGATGTCAGAACATACACGTGCATTTTGTGTATGGTCTTCTTTCCAAGATATTTCCGTGCAGTACAAGCAGTGTGCTCCAAGACGGGTGCATTTGTACACCACACCATATGACGAACATGGGACTAACATCGTTCAATTTATATTTTAATTTTTGCTTTGACTGTTTCATGAACAAACAAAATCAAGATTCTCGTTATGTCCCTGCGTTCAAAGAGTGAACATCTACATCATTTTGAATTCTGTTTGGTGCTTAACACCGCCGCGCTCAGCAACTTTCCAGATATATGAACGGCGGTCTGTAAATAATCAAGTCTGGACCAGACAATCCAGTGATTGGCATCATTATCATCGATCTACGAAAATTAGATACGATGACATGCATCAACCAAGTCAGCGATTGATTGATTGATTGATTGATTGATTGATAAACGGGGTTCATTTGTTCAGCCAACGACTGTTGTACCAATGGATGCTGAAAGTGATTACACCCGTGCCTATAGTGACCTTGGATAAATCCAAAGTATGTTCTAACGGTATCGGGATCTACGTACTGCAACTCAGATGAGTACACGTAATCAAGAAGGGCCATTCACCAGCCGGCAAAACACGTTTTTCCTACATACCTCCCCTCTGAAGATTGAAGCTGCTTTAACCATATGGTCTGTGCTTTAACTGTATCACAACACTGCAATGAAGGTGGTGCTTTGACATGAAAACCTAACTCGATATGGTCATATCACAAAAAAAGTTAACAAAGTCAAGCACAGATATCATCCCAGAAATGTCTCACTAACACAAAATCTAATATGTGCAAACAAAACCAAATTTTGCACTGTCACATGAAATCGACAGACCAACACTGATGATTTGTCTCATAAGTTTTGTCACCCGAATAAGAAATTTGTTTAACAAACGATCATTATTTTATTGTCATTTACCGCCATTTTTTACGATGGGGGACCACTTGCTGGAGAACAGCCAGGTGTGCGAGTTGCACGTGTGAAATTTGCGTTCTGCAAAATAAAAACAGCAACGCTGTATTGCATGCAATTTTAATTGCCTAAAACTTAGCTGCTTGCAGTGAAAACGTACCGTTGAATTTCACTTTAAACAAAAAAGTAAATCAAATAAAGTGAAATTAAGATTGCAAATCCTTATAATTTTACCTTGCCTATTGAACATTTAAATCTCAGAATTCTATTCATCTTATGATAAAAGTTGATTAACAAACGATCATAGATTCAAATCGCTAAACTATGTAGATCACTACACTGGCTACCAGTACAGGCTCGGATGGAGTGCAAAGTTCTCTCCCTCACGTACCAGTGTAATGGAACAGCCCCCGAGCACTTATGTGAACTCATCAACTTCTACAAACCCTCTCGTTCTTTCCGATCAGACACACAGAATCCTCTCCAGACACCTTGATGGAAGCTCAAAGTTTTCGGACAATGCTCTTTAAAACAGTCTGTCGTTACTCTCTGGAGGTGAGGTGAGGTGTGTAACGTCGTGCTTGAGAATATTTCGCTCATATCACGACGTGCATGCGTGTGTATGTGCATGTGCATGTGCATGTGCGGCTGCTTGTACTAGCCCAGACTGAAGCTGGTTTTATAGTGCTAGCCTACTGAGATACCATGCCGCAGTGAAGCATGAATACCCTACTCAGACACATTATACTGACTCCGAGCCGACCAGTCCTTGTTGTACCCATTAATGCCGAGCGCCAGGCAGGGACCAACAAGTACCATATTTTGACGTCTTTTGGTATGACGCGGTCGACCTTCCGCTCCCCGGGTGGACGCTCGCCACTCTCTGGAATGCTCTGTCTGCTGACATGAGAACTTGCCCATCCTTGGAGAGTTTCAAAGTCCATTTGAAGACACATCTCTTAAAAATAATGTATTCAGATTGACAATTCATCTTTGCCATGTACAGCGCTTTGAACATATGCTTTATGGATAAGGCGCTATAGAAATACTCATTTATTATTACCACATGTAACAACCTTTGCATTCAGGTAATGTTTTTTCAGCAGATTTGCATGTGTCCTCCTTGCAGTGTGCCCATGATTACGTCCCCATCTCAGAGCATCATCATCAAACGATGACTATGAAAAATGGTCATTACGTCCCCATCTCAGATCATCATTATCAAACGATGACTATGAAAATGGTCATTACGTCCCCATCTCAGAGCATCATTATCAAATGATGACTATGAAAAATGGTCATTACGTCCCCACCTCAGATCATCATTATCAAACGATGACTATGAAAAATGGTCATTACGTCCCCATCTCAGATCATCATTATCAAACGATGACTATGAAAACTGGTCATTACGTCCCCATCTCAGAGCATCATTATCAAATGATGACTATGAAAAATGGTCATTACTGCATTATCAAGGCACGTAGTTTTTTTCAGTTTACAGACAAGGCCAAAATTGGAAGAGGTCAATCACCGTTCCCTTGTTGAGTTCTACAATTTATTATTTGCCTGTCCACGTGTGTTCTTCTCGATAGTGACACACTCTTCTTTCTGGAAGGGACAAAGCACTGAATATGTTGCAAAATGTCTGATACACTCGTCATTTTTCAAATCACAGGTGTCTGGCATACTTGAAATCAACTGAATGGAGGTTAGGTACTGTTACATGGGATTCCTGAAGCTATTGACAACAGACTCTTGAGTCAGTAACCACTCTGTGGAGAACATTCACAGACGTTTTGAGCAAATCGATCCACAATTATTGGTTTAATCATTGACTTACCAGTAGCATTAGTAGCACCTTGCCTTGTAGTTGTCTACTTATGTTATACTTGTGTTTTGTGAATGTGACATTTTGTGATTTAACAGGACCCAGTTTTAGTTTTCTTGGCTGGTTCCATTTGCATTCTTTTGAAGTTGATGCATGTAATCCCTCAAGTTTCTTTTCCGAGATGTCAACCAAAGCATAAAGGACAACAGCGACATGGTTGATTCACCTTCACTGAAACAGACAAACTGATTCACTGATTGTCAACTTGTAAAAACACCAACTTGATGGATAAAACAAAATACATCGTTCACTATCGCAACCTGCAGCTGTACCTGCCATTGGGTATGAAACGTACGAAAATACAGAGAGTCCTGGATGTAGCCTAACATAAGCCGGTGATTTTGAAAAGAATTTATATAAGTTAAGGAACAACTCAGTATTTGGTGAAACTATGGAGAAATTAAGGAAGCGTGTTAATGTTAAGCTGGCCAGATCCAACGAGGAAGAAATACTCAGGAAACTAAGACCAGAAGGAAGATATTTGATAAAAAATACATCAGAGTAACATAAAATTCAACACACCAGTAAACTTCTTGACTTTTCAAAACGCCTGATGTATGAATTTTAATACAATCAACTTAAAAGCAATACGGTGACAAATGCGAGGTGCTGTTTACCAACACCGAATTGAAACCGAGGATATGCACAAAGAAATCTGACAGTGGTGAGATAAGAAAACTGGTTGCTTTGTTGTTTTGTTGTTTAACGCGGCACTCAGCAATATTCCAGCTGTATGGCGGCGGTCTGTAAATAATCGAGTCTGGACTATACAATCCAGTGGTCAAAAGCATGAGCATCGATCTACGTAATTTGGATACGATGACATGTGTCAGCCAAGTCAGCGAGCCTGACCACCCCATACCGTTAGTCGCCTCTTAAAACAAGCATTGGTTACTGAAAACGAATTCTAACCCTTTAAAAAATCGAATGCCTTCAGGTATTTAGTTTTAAGTAATTAAATACGTGGCAGGAAGGTGAAATGTGAATCGAAAATAAGACCAAGAACTTGGCCTTCTAGACCACTTTGATGGGGGTGTCATTTAGAAATAGTTCAGGGTCTTTATGCGGTTTGTATTTACGGCAGAAATGTCAAGTTATATATTAATAATAATTATTATAGGTAAAGTATATAAACCTGCCAACGAAGGACAGTAAAACAACTAGAATATCACAGATATAAATGTAAAACTAGTCATGTAATCTAAAACATTACTATACATGACAATACATTAGAAAAACAGGCTATGGATTGCCAACAACCGAAGGTAGATCACCATACAAGGGACCATGGGGAACCGCGACAAGAAATATTAAAATTATCCGCAAATAATGATCCATCGATTGAATCATTCAAAACCTTTGCTAAACTATTGATATTAATACTAAACAATGTGACAGACAAAATACTGCCTTGTGGGACTCCCTGATCCTGACTGATCCACACGGACTTGAATTTGCTGTGTGTTAAAAACTGTGGTACAAAAAGTGGTGAACGACCCCTTAAACCAAATTCTTTAAAATGCCATGCTTCCAGGTGGTATCGTATGCTTTCTCGAGATCGAAGAATAGCGATACTGCATGTTGTTTAGCATTTTAACAAAGGATTCAATCGTACCAAATAAAATCATCAATGGTACTTCGATTTTGCCTGAAACCATTTTGAATATTTGTTGTAAGGTTATTGGTTTCAAGGATACCATGTTAATCTATTATTCACCATTCGTCCAATGGTTGTACAGACACAACTCGTTAAAGATATTGGTCTGTAATTTGATCCCAGCCAGGCTTCGGAATAGGAAAGGTGGGAAATTCCCTGAAGTCCATATTTGATCAAAACTTTCTGAAAGGCTTTCTAAACACGATTCAGGCAAATGTTTCAAGAGCTGATAGTGTATATTATGAGGTTAGGTGAGGTGAAATTGGGTTTTACGTCGTGCTTGAGAATATTTCGCTCCTATGACGACCTGCATTCGTGTGTATGTGTATGTGCGGCGGCTTGTACTAGCCCAGACTTAAGCTGGTTTTATAGTGCTAGCCCACTGAGATACCATGCTGCAGTGATGCATGAATACCCCACTTAGACACATTATACTGACTCCGAGCCGACCAGTCCTTGTTGTACCCATTAATGCCGAGCGCCAGGCAGGGTCCAACATATACCATATTTTAACGTCTTTGGTATGACGAACGCGCGACCTTCCGCTCTCCGGGTGGACGCTCTAACCACTACACCACGGAGGCGGTCGTATATTATGAGCCCTATCATGAGCTTACTGAAGGACGGTATGGAGCTCATGTAATGAAAATAATTCGCTATAGTCTTCACCATTGTCTGAGTTAAAATTGATTATTTTCTTCTCCTGTTGTTTCTGATACTTTTGAAACTCAGGACATAATTGAATGATGAAGAATGTTTGGCAAGCGTGTCGCCGATTTTATCTGCTATGTCAGTTTTATTAGTTAATAGATTATCACCATCCTTGAGATGATGAACAGTAGATTTTGAACCTTTGCCTTTTCTTCTTTGGATCATGTTCCACACCTTTCAAATATGTGTGCGTGAATATATTTTGGAAACATAGTTCCTCCAAGACTGACGCTTATTCTGGTTAAATGCGCGTCGAGCCTTGGCATTTGAAATTTTAACTTTGTCTAAATTATGGACTGTAGGTTGTTTGCGAAAATATGTTTCAGTTTTATTCACACACTTTCTGGCCTGTTTACATTCATTATTAAACCATGGTTTACGAATGAGTTGAGTTGCAGTGGACTGTGGAATTGTTCTGTCAGCAATGTCACTTAGAATATCCGAAAACGACTGAATAGGGTCTTCGCTGTTCCTGAAAAGGTCATGCTTCAAGCGTTCAACATTCAGAGTCTCATATAATGACCAAGCAGCCCTGGCGAAGTTCCTTCTTGATACAGGTGGATCATCACCAGGGTTGATGTTTTGAGAATGGCGGGGCAGTGAGGTCATCATGGACCATTCATTCAAATTCATTATAAAAGGTTGATTCGGTGAGTGATATACTGAGCAGCAAAGAAAACGTCAGTTCGGAATTTTCCTTCGCAGAAACGGATAACTGTAAACTCATTTAATGTTTTGACTGTATATTTTTGACAACATCTCCAACTTTACCTGAGCAAAGACATTCCTTCCTAAACTCAGAATGGAACCCAGAAAATGGTCTCAAAAACACAACCTGATCTCGGAGATGGTACGGTGTTCTCCATGTTTTTCATGCAACTCATGCTGCACGTGTTGTTCACAAGGACCAGTCCTATAAAAGGCACCCCCAAACCTGGTTGAAACATTCACATTACAACGTCAGCAGGATGCCCCTTCTCAAGACAGCTCAGAGGAACCAGGCGCTAGGAAGACTTGAAGCTGGCCACACTGCACAAGCCGTTGCCAATCACTTCCAGGTCAACGTTCGGACTATCTACAGGCTGCAGCAAATGTTTCCGGGCCACCAACACCACAAATGATCGCCCCCGTACTGGCAGACCAAGGGTGACCACAAGACTCATGGTATGTGGTGGAATAGGCCTGAACCAGAGAGTGGGTCCTGTGGTGTTCCAGAACATTGGTCCAGGGAGAGGAGGCGGCATCACAGCAGTGCGTTACATCGACCAAGCTCTCAGACCCCACGTCATACCACATTTCGCACGTCACCGGAACAACATTTTCCAGCATGATAACGCCCGGGCCCATACTGCCAGAGCTACACGGGACTTCCTACAGCAGAACGGTGTCAGCATTATGCAGTGGTCAGCTCTTATAGTTTGGCATGAAATGCATGTGGACCCGGTTTTTTTGTAAATATCTCTTCATCCAATGATCCAATCGACCTCAAACTGTGCAAGTGGATGTTTTGTCAGACAACCTAATCACATTGTAAATCACCGATTTTATGCATTTGTTTTAAAGAATCTGTCTATGTAACTGTCAACGAAATAAACAGCAGAACGCAGACTGCTTGCAGAGGGAGGGAGCCAATGACCTGTAACAGCGGCAGTGTTGGGTCATAAAGGTCAACGTTCGTCAATGTAGGTCAGCTATGCACGTGACAGGTATGAAGAAGTGTCACAGGTCGTGAATA